CTCACCCCTTCAGTCTCCACCAGTATCACCCACCTACTGAACGATATATCAGACTGGATGTCGCTCCATTTCCTCAAACTTAACCTTTCCAAAACCGAGCTCCTGATTTTCCCCCCAGCCCGTGCGCCCCCCCCCCCCCCCCACCCTCTCCATCACAACCAACAACGCCACCACAGTCCCACCCCACAAGCCAAAGTCTTAGGTGTCACTCTAGACTCAAACCTGTCCTTCCAACCCCATGTCCAATCGTTGGCAAACTCATGCAGGATCCACGTCCGTAACATCTCCAAAATATGTTCGTTCCTAACCCCAGACACTACTAAACTACTCGTTCACTCCCTTATTATCTCACATCTGGACTACTGCAACTCCCTTCTCACCGGAATCCTCATCGCAGACTATCGCCTCTTCAGTCTATCCTGAACTCAGCGGCCAGACTCATCCACCTCACCAACCGCTCCGCTTCTGCCACCCCCCTCTGTCATTCCCTCCACTGGCTCCCGATTGCCCAACGCATTAAATTCAAACTACTAACATTGATGTACAAAGCCATTCATAATGCTGCCCCAAACTACCTCACCGACCTGATACCCAAATACCACCCTACCCGTAATCTTCGCTCCTCACAAGACCTCCTACTTTCTAGCTCCCTGGTCTCCACCTCCCACGCCCAACTGCAGGACTTCTCCAGGGCTTCCCCCATCCTCTGGAACTCACTACCCCAATCCATCAGACTGTCACCTACCCTCCTCACCTTTAGGCGCACCCTGAAAACGCATCTCTTCAGGGAAGCCTACCTCGCCCTCACCTAACAGCCGATCTCCTCCTCTCCTCCCACCACTCTCCATCCCCCACAGCCACTTCCTCTTGTACCACTATCCCCCTGTTTTGTTACTGTATTGTCTCATGTACTGTCCCCCACTATAATGTACAGCGCTGAGCAAACTTTTTAGCGCTATATAAATACTGTATAATAATATTAACTGTCAGGTCAGCAGTCTTTTCCATGATTGTGATTCCTACTGAACCAGACTGAGAGACCATTTAAAGGCTCAGGAACCCTTTGCAGGTGTTATGGCTTAATTAACTGATTAGAGTGGGACACTTTGAGCCTAGAATATTGCACCTTTTCACAATGTTCTAATTTTCTGAGATTGTGGATTTGGGGTTTTCTCATATATTAGTTTCACCTTTTAAGTTGCATTACTGAAATAAATGAACTTTTGCACGATATTCTCATTTTTTGAATTTCACCTGTACAGTATCGCTGCGATCTTCAGGAAAAGGAGAATTTCTTTTGGGTTAGTCTTTGGTGTAAGGTCATGGTGGTAGTAAAAAAATATACAGATACATTTTTAAAACTGTACAATTTTTTTTTTTTTTATATTTTAAATAATATCTAATATTTAGAAATATTATCTTTTGATAATATAAAAAATTGGAGGTTATCCATTACTATCTACCACCAAATAAAGGACCAATTTGTGCTGAAAAAAACCAAGGTATAATTCACCTGGATACGCTAAGTAGATGCGATGATTTTTACAGTTTTATTTAACACATGCCAGAGTTGCAAAAAGTGGGTTCATGCTTTAAGATTTTTTTTACCCTCCATCAAACAGAAGTTAAGGATGTTATAGGAAGTACAAACATGGAAGCTTTGATTTGTAAAAGGGTTATAATTGCAATGAACTCTAGCATTCTCCTATAATGTGTGTTTGAGGTCTCTGACCATCTTCTACAGTATGTCTACAGTCTGACCATCTCTTGCAGCATTCCTGTAGTCTTTGACCATCTCTTGTTGCAGGTCTGCTGTCTGAGTATGATTAGTAGCATATTCATTCTGACCATCTCTTGCTGCATGTCTGTAGTCTCGACTTTCTATTGCACTATGTTCCATAAATATCGAGTGTGGCCCTTTAGTGAAGTCAGGGGCAACACTTGAGACCCCCAAAATTAACCACTTGTACATAAACGGCTGGACGGGAGCAGTGCCGAAGTGGGTCGTGTTTATAGTGAAGGAAATAAGTATTAGATCCCCTGCTGATTTTGAACACTCACATAGAAATGATCAGTCTAAAAATCGAATGGAAGGTGTATTGTAACATTGAGAGATAGAATAGCAACAAAAAATTCTAAAGAAATGCATGTCTAACAAATTATTCACTGATTTGCATGTTCATGAAGGAAAAAAGTATTTGATCCCCTTCCCAAAACATAACTTGGTATTTGGTGGCAAATCCTTTCTTGGCAATCACAGAGGTCAGACGTTTCCTGTAGTTGGCCACCAGGTTTGCACACATCTCAGGAGGGAGGGATCTCTCCTCTTGGCAGATCCTCTCCAAGTCATTAAGGTTTGGTGGCTGACGTTTGGCAACTCGAACTTTCAGCTCCCTCCACAAATTTTCAATTGGATTAAGGTCTGGAGACTGGCTAGGCCACTCCCAGACCTTAATGTGCTTCTTCTTGAGCCACTCCTTTGTTGCCTTGGCCGTGTGTTTTGGGTCATTGTCATGCTGGAACACCCATCCACGACCCCTTTTCAATGCCCTGGCTGAGAGAAGAAGGTTCTCACCCAAGATTTGATGGTACATTGCCCTGTCCATCGTCCCTTTGATGCGGTGCAGTTGTCCTGTCCCCTTATTAGAAAAACACCCCCCAAAGCAGAATGTTTCCACCACCATGTTTGACAGTCGGGATGGTGTTCATGGAGTCATAGGCAACATTCCTCCTCCTCCAAATACAGCGAGTTGAGTGGATGCCGAAGAGCTCGATTTTGGTCTCATCTGAGCACAACACTTTAAACTAGTCCTCCTCTGCATCATTCAGACGTTCAGTGGCAAACTTCAGACGGGCTTGGACATGTGCTTTCTTAAGCAGAGGGACCTTGCGGGCACTGCAAGATTTTAATCCTTGTCGGCGTAGTGTGTTACCAATTGTTTTCTTGGTAACTGTGGTTCCAGCTGCCTGGAGATCATTGACAAGATCCTCATGTGTAGTTCTGGGATGATTCCTCACTGTTCTCATGATCATTCACACTCCACGAGGTGAGATCTTGCATGGTGCACCAGACCTAGGGAGACTGACAGTTGTTCTGTGTTTCTTCCATTTGCGAATGATTGCACCAACTGTTGTCACCTTCTCCCCAAGCTGCTTAGCGATAGTTTGGTAGCCCAGTCCAACCTTGTGTAGGTCTACAATCTTGTCCCTGACATCCTTGGACAGCTCTTTGGTCTTTGCCATGGTGGAGAGTTTGGAGTCTGATTGCTCCTGTGGACAGGTGTTTTTTATACAGGTAACAAAATGAGATTAGCAGCACTCCCTTTAAAAGACTGCTTCTAATCTCCGCTTGTTACCTGTATGAAAGACACCTGGTAGCCAGAAATCCTGCTGAATGATAGGGAATCAAATACTTTTTTCCCTCATGAACATGCAAATCAGTGCATCATTTGTTACACATGCATTTCTTTTGATTTTGTTGTTGCTATTCTGTCTCTGTGTCACAATACACCTACCGTTCGATTTTTAGACTGATCATTTCTTTGTGAGTGGGCAAACATTCAAAATCAGCAGGGGATCAAATACTTTTTTCCTTCACTGTATAACTGGCCCCGCATTCACTGCCTGTGCGCGCTCCCTGGGAGCATGCGGCACCACAATCGCTGTACGGGACCTCTGTGGGAGGTCCCGATTCATGTGATCCCTGATTGCCAATAGTAGTAAACAAGATGTCACTTCCTGACATCATTGCTTACTACTTGTGAAATCTGTAAATGATCAGAGGTCACATTGTACAAGGCTATTCAAAACAGCCTTGTACCATGTGACAAGCTGTGACCAATCACAGCTCTCACAGTATTTCTCAATGGCTACAAGAATGCAGCCAGAGAGAAGGAGAAATTGCTTTTACGCCTTTATGGGTGTAAAAGCAATCGGTGTAAAAAAAAAAGAAAAAAAAAATCTTCATCACCCCCAGAAGTAGTACATTGTCACTATAGTGACACTGTACTGCTAGGGTGACGGTATGTGAAAAAAAAAGAAAAAATAATATATAAAATTTTTTAAAATATTTAGAAAACTATAATTTTTGGTTATAAACTAATTTGGGTTATTTCTTTTTACTAAAAAGCTAGCTGAATACATTTTGACCAAGATTTATGAAAGATTTATTTGAAAAATTTTATAAGAAAAACACTTTTTTTTTCAAAATGTTAGGACTTTTTCATTTATATAGCAAAAAAATAAAAATCCCAGTGGTGAATAAATACCACCAAAATAAGGTTTTTTCTATCTCAAAAAATTCAAAAAAAATTCATATGGGTACAGTGTTGCATGACTGTGCAATTGTCTTTCAAAGTGTGATAGCACTGAAAGCTGAATATTGGCCTGGACAGGAAGGGGTGAAAATGTCTGAACTTGCAGTAGTTAAGGAAGTTGAACGCCACTGCATTAGAATACCTATCTTAAAATGACAGTTTTTTTTCTCCAAAGATGGTACTCTGTTGGTATATTTGTTTCTGTAAATTGCTATATACTTTTTCATTTCATCTTGGATGTCTGCTATTCTTCAGTAACTATTATTTTCTTATTTTTCTCCTTTGGTGTTTTGGTTGTTTTCATTTTACTTTTTTTTTTTTCTCTTTGCAGGCATTAAAAAAAAAAAATACAGGAGCTGCCATTGCTTACCACCTCCTGAAAATGCCAGTTGCCTAGCTGACATGCTGATCTTAACTCAGGAAGTAAAGGTTGATTAAAATCAAAACTCCTGAGATTCATACTTGTTACTGGTCTATGAAAAAAAGTACAAAAACCATTGAATCAATATGACAGTCAGAAAGGTAGCATTTTCAAAACGATGGGACAGTAAGGGCACAGGTTTCCTTGAACAATGTGTATTTTAATATGGCTTGCTCCCACTAATCAAAACTGTCTTATGATAAGTGGAGACTTTTTTTCTTTTTTTTTTTTTTTAAGAACTTTTATTTTTATCTTTATTACAGAAAGTACAAGTTGTAATCACCGTTCTGGACTATGACAAACTGGGTAAGAATGAGGCAATTGGAAAAATCTTTGTTGGATGCAGTGCAACAGGAACAGAGCTTCGACATTGGTCAGATATGTTGGCCAATCCACGTCGCCCTATTGCTCAGTGGCATCCACTCAAACCAGAAGAAGAAGTGGACCTTGCTCTTGGATCAAAGAAGTAAACAATAAACACACATACAACACACATACTTCCCCTTAATATTTTTCCTCCAAATGCCCTCTTACTCTGCTGTGCAGACTTAATCTACAAGCACCTTCTGCTCACCCACTGGCAGCCCCAAATGCACAGCAGCCAGGACTTATGGAACACATTCAAGGGGTGGTATTACACTACAAAGCGGTTTACACATTCAGCCACCAAATTCAGAGGTTAGACAGTTTCCCTCTTTTTTTTTTTTTTTTTCAAGTGATAGGATTCTAAGCCAATGATTTCTATCAATGAAGAATGACTTCTGAAGCTGATCAGTGCTAGCAACCAGACATCCACCTCTTGTGTGTGTTCTAGGCAAACTTTATATTGTATGCATACATTGGTGGGTAAATAATAGCTGTATAATATTCCAGTCTTCCAAATATTGGTAGTAGACAGCCACTGGGTTATTGAAAAAGTACTTGTATGTTCTCTGGCTTGGCTACAAGTCAGTATATCCATTTTAAATGATTACTATTAGTTGTAGGGACAGTAGGTTTACATTTGTTATTGTATTAGTATAGAAGATGATGTTTTCAAGATATTTTACTCAAAAATAAATCCAGTATATTCTGTAAAAGGTGAATATATTTCTTTACAAAGACTTTTAGTGTGTTAGAGAAATTGACATGCACATCATATTTTTTTCTTATAACTGTTGTTCGAATAATTTCATTTTTAAATGTACTTTTCTTATGCACTTCTAGATTCCCCATTTCATAAGCAATCTCCATATCTATAATATAATTCCTACTCTGTAGCATCAGTGGAAAGAGGTGGTATGAATATCTTGTCTTTAGAATCACATGTCTTCCATTTTTCTAAAGTAGACATCTACTCTAGGATAAATTGCCAAGGAAATTAAATACCTAGTGTGCATCTAGCTCAAGCAATTTTATTTTATTTGAGGTCAATATATAGATTTCTTTTGCCACCAAATGCAGATGCAAGTGGTGAAACAAAAAATTGCAGGTATCTCTATGGATGAGTGAAGTAGTTAGATGCACACGTTTTAGAAAGCAGCATAAAGATTCAGGAAAGCTTGCAGATCTACTGAGACCAAAGTGATAACCCAAAATATTGAGAGAGGTTTTCTAATAGCATTTATCATTTTTATTCTGTATAAAAGTATTTGCCAGTTTGTGTCTATAACAAATTATGGGAAGTATGTATAAAATATAGGAGGGTATTTACATTTTTTTTCCTGCATGTCAAAATATACAGTTGTTGGCAGCACCATAGAGAAAGCAAGCATTTACTAAATAGTCATGTTTTATGGCTTAAGGGAACTTTCAACCAATTTTATGCCCAAAATGAGGTGTAGTGCAAGGGAATATATTGAAATGAGATAGCTTCAAAATTTGAAAGTCATCACACCTACACTGTAAGGATCATATTATGGTCTCTGTATAATTTAAAATCTAGGGCTTGAACAATCATTAGAAAACATTTGTCAATAGATTGTAGCTGTATGTTAAAAAGAATATTTATTTGTGCTTTTTTTTTTTTTCTCCCCCCCCCCCCCCCCCCCCCCCCCCCCCCCCCCCCCCCCCCCACTACCAGTGGCAGTAACTGTTTTGTTTACCAGTGGCAGTAACGGTTTTGTTTAGCCAGAATTGACTATAGTATCTGTAAAGATGCATGTTAAGGGGTACCCCATAGGTACCTAAAGAACATATTCAAGAAAAAGACACTGGGAATAAATGATTTATTACTAGTGACATTCCAGCCTTATTGCCTCCAGTTTTCAAATGTGAGATCCTATGTAGTAGGGAGTACTGATTTACGTATGCAGCCTGACTCCTAAACTGTTAACATGGTTAACAATAATTGTATCTATCAGAAAAAAATAAGTCGGCCTCGTCATTACCAGTTGTTGTCTAAAGCAAGTATAGATGTAGTTGCATTTTTATGCTAGTGGAAAGGTCACAGTTTGTAAATAAAAATACACAATTTGTGAAAAATTATTTGCAAAAGATGTTAAGTTATACATAATTAAAGATTTGTTTAGGTTTGGGAAACTTTACAAGGAAGACGCAAAATAAGCAGTTACAATTTGAGAATTTACAGTATATTGTTTAAAGCTGTTACTTGGTTCTTTAAGCTTTTTATTGGGAAAAGATTTTTGATAAGGTGAGTTAGCAAGGAATGTGAGTGTTTTACTTCCAGATAATATGAATTCTCAGTGGAAACATGCATTTTAGTTTATATTGCTTAAAGCCACTTTTGGAATTTGTAAAGGAGTTACCTTTGAAGTACCTCAACAGAATTATTGGAAGTGTCTTGCCGGTATAGCTATGTCCCCTCTTCCCAGCATTCCTGTGATGCCACTTACCTATGTGCTCTCCAAATCAGGGCTTTGAGCTTCTCTAGAGATGTTCACTGCTCTATGACTTGCGATTGCCTTGAAATAAAAGTGTCTGTGATCACATAACTTCAGAATGGGAAAGCCAAACACAGAAGGGAGCAGATGGTTAGAGCATGATTCCATAGTCACTGGGACCATCACAGATAGTGAATCACAAATATTTTAAATATATATGCTCTTGCTGTTTAGCAGATAGGTTTTTTTGAATCCTAAGAAAAAAAAGTTTATATGACTGGAAGAAATAAATATACAAACATAAATGGAGGAGCACGTAATGTATAAAGAAGCTAGATGTGTGTGTATATAAGGAATTAAATAAACCATGCTATACAGGGTAGTTCATAGACCAAGACAGATAACGGAGAGCAGCCATATTATGTTTAATGAAAAGTTGCAGAAATCATGTTTCCTTCATGCCCATTATGATCAGAGGCCTGTTTGTGTGTTCAGATATGTGCGTGCCTGCTCAGGATGTATGGTAAATATTCTGTACATAACATGCATGTTACACCGTGTACATACCAGCATGGGGGATAGATGTATGCTCGTGAGAGTGAGTGAGACCAGTGGAATATTTTTTGGCCCCTTTACTAACTTGGCAAATCTGTTGTGGCATTATATATTCACTAGTAAAGGTAATAGAATAAACATTCACCTTTGTTTTGTGATGCAGCAAACTATACTAACTGCGGATCTGCTTTCCCAATGCTTTTTGTTTTGCCATGATGTAAATGGGGTTAAAAATAATAACACATTGGTTAAATAAATTAGGCTGCCAAATGCTGTTCCAGGCTTTACTGGCAGTTAATCTGAACATTTGGATATATCTTGGAGAGGGTTTTGTCTTACACTTTATATTTTTGAATGTACGCATGCTAAAGAGGAAAAATAAGTATATAGATAAAATATATATATAAAATAAAATAAATATAGGTACATATGGAAAGGGGCTGTGTGTTTACTGAACTTATTTTTTCATTTGTGTGTGTCCTGTTGATGTCCTATAACCTGCTAAATGTTGACGGATTTTTATCCATGCAATAGATTATGGCCTTTACCCTGGCATAGGGACAGACCATTCCTGCGTCTCGTGCTGTCTGTATTATAAATCTTTGCCATGCTGAGATATAAAAGCCATAATTTCTGAGAACAGAGTATCCAGGTGGGGTATACTCAGACTAAATATGCATGTATTCTGTCTCTTGTCTCTGTGTTTTCAAAAAATATGAGGTGGTGTTAACGGAAGGTGCTTCTCTGTTCCACCTACCTTGGTGTGTTATTGTTTGTGTGAGATAATTGTTGTCTTTGTTATTTTGTAAGACGTCTCCTTAATAAAGAAACATTGACTCAAGTGTCTTCTGTAATCTTTCAAAGCACTATTTTCAAAGGTTTGTTGTAACCTTTTTATCTGTATAGATCAATTTGGAGTATTTTGTGTTAAGTCTTTTTTTATATTGGATCCTTGTGAGTGGATTCTTTAAATTGGGTTGTAAATTATAATTTTTTTTTACAGTCAAGTTTGTCAAAGTACAAACCCACTCTTATGCTTCTAACCTGTGGTAATTAGGTTTGACCTAGTTCTGAATAAACACCCTGGTTTATAATCTCTAAATGGTTTAGGCACATTTATGTCCCCGTATATGGAGAATATGCATTTTTTTTATTTTGTCTAATTATGGTAGACAGACAAAAGAAACACTAGTAATCATACAAGTTTGGAGTTTTTATCCAGCCTTGCATTCTCCTATGTGCAGATACATAACTGTAGAGATCATTTTGCATGCCCAGAGAATGAGATGCATGTGGTTGGTCAAAAATGTTTTTTCTACAGGTCTGCTCCTTCAGTAAAAATAAAGAAGACTTTTTTGAGCCTTTGCAACATTTTGCAAGAATTGCATATAACTTAACTGCCAATATTTCTGTATCTACTGATCCAGCTGACACGTGGTTGATCAGCTCGTTATGCCAGGGTTGTTTACTGTCTTCATAGCTAAAAACACAAGCAGAAAAATAGATGATTTTAGAATGGCTGCTGCTTTCCTATACAGGTAAACATTACCTATTTGTAAAATAGTATTTCATTCTCTGGAATATAATAATAATCAGAGTTAGAAATTGTCCATCTGTGCATTCGCCACTTTAGGAATGTTCCTTAGTTCTACAAAAAAGTGGGCTAATCAATATAGTAAAGAGCATTTAGTCTTTTATTAAAAGAAAACATTTTTTCAAATTGACAAACTCACCAAAACTTTCTCATTAGACCTATCTAAATCCACACATTGTAGTTATGTAACTTGAAATAACATAAATGATATAAAAACATACACATAAACATCAAGCAAAATATGATGTAACAATATAGAAAAAGAGAAGATAGGGGAGTATCAGTTCCCCTAAACCCATAAACCATCTAGAAGTATTAACTCCATGGTGCACAGATATACACTAAAAAAGAACACGTAGTAAATGAGTCATTAAATCATTGGGTTTGATTTACTAAAGGCAAATAGGCTGTTCACTTTGCAATGAACACATGATGATGCAAGGAAAATAAACACAAATAGCTTTTTTGCTTGCACATGATTGGATAAAGGAAATTAGCA